AGGATGCCCCAACCTGCACTGCTCAGGATGCACATGGAGGGGGTGAAGGGGATCTCGTGTGCAGAGACCCCCAGGAGCCCCCTGAGCCTCTCAGCTCATGGCAGGGGTGTGGCCAGAGAGGCACCAGGTGTGCAGGGGTTGGAGAAGGGAGGGGACATGGACACGGGAACGCAGGCACAGAGATGGGAACACACCCATGGAGATGGGAACACACACGTGGAGATGGGAACACACACATGGAGATGGGAACACACCCATGGAGATGGGAACACACACGTGGAGATGGGAACACACATGGAGATGGGAACACACATGTGGAGATGGGAACACACCCATGGAGATGGGAACACACACGTGGAGATGGGAACACACACGTGGAGATGGGAACACACATGGAGATGGGAACACACACGTGGAGATGGGAACACACATGGAGATGGGAACACACCCATGGAGATGGGAACACACACGTGGAGATGGGAACACACATGGAGATGGGAACACACATGTGGAGATGGGAACACACCCATGGAGATGGGAACACACACGTGGAGATGGGAACACACATGGAGATGGGAACACACATGTGGAGATGGGAACACACCCATGGAGATGGGAACACACACGTGGAGATGGGAACACACACGTGGAGATGGGAACACACATATGGAGATGGGAACACACCCATGGAGATGGGAACACACACATGGAGATGGGAACACACACACATGATCAAGCAGAGTGGCTTTCCTGAAGGGATTTATTGATCATTCAGGGGAAATGCCCCTGGGCTCTGAGGAAAATCAGCAGGCCCTCCAAAGATGATCATCTCCTCATAGTGCTGGAGGGGGACAGGGCACAGGTGTCACCACCAGTCCTGAAAGACAGAGCCCCAAACGTCACCCCAAAGTCCACTGCAACACAAGAGGGGCCTTGTCCTGACCCCTCTCCCTGCAGGCACTGCTCACCTCAGACATCCAGGGATGCAGCCACATCTCACCAACAGGACCCACCACCTTCTCCACCACAGGGGAGTGGGGAGGAAGACAGGCTCAGAGACACACTGGGTGCAGTGGGATGTATTGGGAGCCTGGGGGAAGAAATGGGATCCTTGGGGAAGGTGCACTGGGGTATACTGGGGCAGACTGGGATGGCCGGGAGTGTCATGGCCATGTGAGGGGAGGACCCGACTCAGGCAGAACTCCTGGTACCCACCTGAGCCATCTTCAGGATCCCAACGTCCACTAAATGCAGCTGGAGAGAGACCA